TTTATTTTTACCTGTAATCATCTCTTTTCCTCGTTCTGATTGCACACTGATTGCTTCAATGTAAAATTACTTTGCTTCTAAAAGAATTGTCTACATATAAAAACCATTTCTAAAATTATTTTTTATAGAATTTTAATGATTACCAAAATGTTTATTTAATGCTAAATTTGAAAAATTAAAAAAAAAGATTAATTAATGTTATAAAAGCATTTAATTCCATTATGTTTATGTGTGACTATGTTTTTGAGCTTTTGTGGTGTTCGCTTAGTTGGATGATTGGTTGATTGTTTGGTTGATGATTGGCTGGTTTAGTTGGTTGTTGATTGATTGGATGATTGCTTGGTTGGTTGTTTTGTTGGTTGGCTGTTTTGTTGGTTGGCTGTTTTGTTGGTTGGTTGGTTGGTTGGTTGGTTGGTTGGTTGGTTGGTTGGTTGGTTGGTTGGTTGGTTGGTTGGTTGGTTGGTTGGTTGTTTGGCTAGTTGTTTGGCTAGTTGTTTGGCTAGTTTTTTTCTTATTGACCTTTTACTTTTCATCATTGTTAATGAATGTAGTCTAATATGAAAATGCATGCAATGACAGATCAAACTTAGAAATGAAGTTGTTACTATCATTACTGAAAAAGTATATATTACCTTCATTTACTTAATTACTTCCTATGTTAATTTATTTTTAAACTTTGTTGTTGATTAGTATAGTTTTCTAAAATGTGCCCATCTTGTATTACCCAGTTTTCAATGTTTTTCAATGAGTTTTGAATTCAAAATTGTTTGGCATGTATATTAAATAAGTTTGTCAAAATCAAATGAACTTCTTATTTGAATTTGTGAGTTAAATAAAATCACTGGGGTTGAACTTCACAAAAGGAATACTTAAAATTAAATGTTCCCATTCATCAGTAATCATTTTATTATTCTTGTCACCTTGTTGCATGTTCAGTCTATCAACATTGATGTCACATCACATTTCATCCATAAAATGTGAATCATTATTTCATTAGCTGGTGGCATTTAGAATTGAAATTTTTGTTTTGTTTTTATTGTTCTGCTGTTGAAAACTGAAAGACAAGTGTGACCAACTTATCTACTTCATTTGTGATATTTGTTTATAAAAGTTTAGCCATCTAACGAAGCCTGACTTGCAGAAAGTGAATGCATCTGAGCCTGAGTGAATCTTATAGATTTATATTAAATTATTTCAGGTACTGGAGAGTCAGGCAAGAGTACCTTCATCAAGCAAATGAGGATCATACATGGCAGTGGATATTCTGATGATGACAAGAGGAGTTTTATCAAATTAGTGTATCAAAATATTTTTATGGCTATTAATTCGATGATTAGAGCTATGGACATGCTCAAGATACCATACAAAAATCCCAGTAATGAAGTTAGTTTTTTGGCTGAGAAAGTTTTGCAATTTTTCAGATTCATGATTTTAATAACAGTTTTCATTTCATTGTTGTGTCTCACAACAAGTGAAACAAGATGGAAGCCTTTGCTCTTGATATATAATCTTCTGTTGGTTTTTATATCGTTCTGAAAGGAGATTGCTGCATTTACTACTGACTTGTACATGTTCATCTCTTCAATCTCTTTTAAAATTAAATTGATTCTTCAAGTTAGAGTGTTAGAGTCAAACTGAAAATTCCTGGCTCTGACACTGATTTCAAATTTTCTGAGTTTGACTAATTTTAAAAAAGTTCTTGCTTCTAATTACTAAAGGGTTTTTTCAAATTTTATCATTACAATTTAAAAAACACTGCTTATGATGAAATTGTAGATGCTTTGAAACCAAAATGTTTGCAATCAAATCAAATCATATGATATATTATCTGTAATTATTCTTAATTGGTTCTATGTTTTTAAAAATGGTAATAAATAATTATCTGGATTATTTTGGGATGTTTATAGTTTAAGGTTGCATAAAAATTTTTTCATTTTAATGACAAATTCCTTAATTTTCAAAAGTTTCAATAGCGCTAAAATAAGAAATTTACCCACAACTTTTTGGGCATTAAGAAGATTTTCAAACTTGAAATGTTTGCAATTGTGGTTTGCTGGTGTAAAATTTTTTATTAATTATTCAGTGCATAACTAGCATACATGCATCCCATGTTTAGAAAAAATTTAATTGCAATACCAGTGCTGGCTATGTACATAGAATTTATTTAACAAAGAATTGGAAGGCTCTAAATTTAAAAAGCTAATCTTTAGAACCATTTTTGGAAGCAATGTACTAAATGGCTAAGAGATATACTTTGAATATCACATTCTAAATTGTTTGGATCCACATTAAACTACATGAAGATCATTTTCAAGGAAGAGCACTTACACTATGTTGTTGGCATGGCTGCTTTTCATGCTTTTAGTTATATGCAATGCTATAGTTAATTTTTAAGCTAGGCAGCATTGTAATTATAACAGATGGCAAAAACTAAACAAAAATTGTATTGATATTATTTAAAGGAAATAAAAAAACTGAATGAAAAGTTTTAATGGAAAATGTTAAAATCATCAAGAAACAATAAAAAATAATTATGAGTACAACAGATTATCACAAGGTAAGACTCATGAGTTATGCCTCATAACAATTATGCCAGCTTGTTCATTATGGTTTTTAAAGTAATGTATGCTTGCTTACAGCAACAAACTTTTTGGAAGGAACTTAAGTTGAACATTCAACTATTAAACTAAAAGGGCTTATTGCAGGAATATAAAAAATCACTTAATTTTTAAAATGTTCAAATTTCAAGCACAAATTAAAAAATGATTGATCATCACTCAACTAATACTCAAATGTTTAATAATTTACAAATACGTTTGGCGTCTAAAGTTGATACTTTTTTCTATAAAACAGTTTTTCAAACAATTACAAAAAATTTCTTGAATTCAGTCACATTTTTCCACTTAATAATAGTGTTGCACATAACTTTTAAAATAGGAAGTTGTGGATAATGGCATACATGAACAAAAAACGTGAAGAGTCAAAACTGAAATTATCTAATTGATTTTTAAATCTCTAATTTATCAATTGTTTCATAAATTTTGTTTTTGTGAAAAGTTAATTTTCAAACTGACATCTGATTGTAGATCTGTTAATATACTAATGAGTTTTTTTGAGTAATGAAATTTTGTCTTTTTATACTGTATCAGTAATTTTTTTACAATTAGGAGCACGCTCGAATGGTTAAACAAGTTGATTATGAAACTGTGACAACATTTGAACAACCTTATGTTGATGCTATTAAATCATTGTGGCTCGATTCAGGCATACAAGAATGTTATGACAGACGCAGAGAATATCAGTTAACAGATTCTGCTAAATAGTCAGTTACTTTAATTATAAAGGCATGATTTATATTAAAAAATTTTCATTTTAATAACTATTGTGGTTAGTGTCATACTGCTTAAGTTTGTAATCACATTTTAGAATGTGTGCTATACTTCGTTTATTCATTTCTTTATTCATTATTCATTTCATGTACTTGGATTCAGCTGCTTTTCACATTTTTGTGGTATTGGTCTTGCATTGTTTTCTAGACAGGCTGGTTGATGCAACGGCTATGTGTTATTGCTTTTATACATTGCTGATCAGGCTGTAAGAATTAAAACTGTACCAGATTTGATTTTGCAATTTTAATCAGGGCCAAATTTATGATTTTTGCATCTGTTGCATTCTTTGTCATACCCAGTCTCCATGGCTTCATTAAATTGCCTCCAGCATTGCGTAAAACTTTGTTGAATTTAACCTCGACCAATTAAGTTTGATACAAGTTGAACAAACTCTACTTTATTTTTTGACGCAAATGATCGAATTTGAAAATATCTATCTTAGTCACTCCATTGACATTGAAGTAAAGTAACCAAGCAATTAAACTATCACACCTGAAACAGTAATTATGCAGTTCACATTTTGTATTTTCTATTGATGATGTTGCCTTTTTAATTATTTAAAAAATATATCATGTGCATCTCAGAATATGGACTACAACCTCGCCAGTGGTTGGTTCATTGTGTTTTCTGAAGTTTTGAATGATGTAATGTTAAGCGACAATTCTCCACTAAGTAGATTTTTATGAAAGATCGACTGAGCATGAAGCTTCCATCGATTTGACTTTTTTGGCTTATTTTTGGAATCTGTCTTGTTTCAAAATTTAATAATGTTTGTCTGAATCCTTAACATCCCTTGACAATATTTCTACTATTTCTTCAACTCTATATTCATCATTGACAGCCTCCAGCAAATTAAACATCACACAAATGTTTTCTGTTTCTTTTGCGTTGTTTCCTTTAATGAATAGAATAGCTTTTATGTTTTTCACTAAATCATTAGTGGTGTTTTTATTTTTCCTTTATCTTTTTAGCAATTATATCAGCCCAGTTCTTGTTTAATTATCTTTGAAACTGAGTTTCAGCACTCAAATTAGTGTTGGGTTTGTTGACATTGTTTTCCCTTCTGTTATGTCGTTTGCAAGGATATTATATAAATAGTTATATAAATAAGTACACGCAAATTATTCTTTCAACAGTTTTGACACATTTTATGTATTACAGTTCTAGCAGTTTCAACAGTTTGTTAATGCAGTGCCAACAATAGGATGTTATAAATCATTCTGTAAACTTATATTTATGACAATCAACTACAATCTGGAAAAAAGAATGAATGTGACAGGTGGTTCACTTGCTGAAGAGAGATCAAAGCAGATTCCTAAGGAGAGCATTTGAAAACCAATCGTAAGTGAATAGAACTCCCAGGAAACCCAGAAGAAAATTTAAGAATCAATGCATGGGGGAATGATGGAAGCTGAAATGTTGAGAAATATCATGGAGAAATCAACATTTCTTTCTAGAAAACAGACATTTTTTATTAAAGGCATCTTCTTTGGCTTTGTCGCATGACTTGTTTCTTGTCACTTGTTTCTTGACTTTAAATAAATTTCAGTTCCCGTCACTACAATCTAGAATTGTTGATTTATAGTTGGCTGTTTTTAGATTTCTACAAGCGTTTTTAATAACTTTTTCTACCAGTTGCATTCTATCTAATTATGATATATGATGAAGATAATGCAGAATGTTTATATTTTTCACTGCAGTTACTTAGACTCAATAGATACGATTGCAGCTGCAAACTACTTGCCCACACTGCAGGATGTTCTGCGCGTCAGAGTGCCAACAACAGGCATTATCGAATATCCCTTCGACCTGGACAGTATCATTTTCAGGTTTTGATTGGATTTTTTTTTTAACTATATAATAGTAACTTTAATTTTGTTGTAAGTTCACACACAGCATCTAAGTTTATTTACTTTTATTTGTAACATTGTTTATTTAAATGTGGATCAGAATGGTGGATGTTGGCGGTCAAAGGTCGGAACGTAGAAAATGGATTCACTGTTTTGAGTCAGTTACTTCAATAATGTTCCTCGTAGCCTTAAGTGAATACGATCAATTGCTAGTCGAATCAGACAGTGAGGTTAGTTGACATTTCATTCGAATGTTATTTGCCTAACTTTCCAACTATTAAATTTAATAAGAATAATTTAATCCAAAAACATCGAGTCGTTTAGCTATTTTTCAATAAAATGTTTGCTTGATTTGATGCTGATTTCTTTTCAAAAATCTGATCAACCTCCTGTAGACTCTGGTGTGCCTTAGCTAAAATTTACAGTTTAAATTTCTAGCAAGTAGCAAAACTTAAAAAGAAGTTTAAGTTATGACTCATTTCACTGAAGCTTGATTGAAATATCATTGGATTAACTGTCATCGGCATTATTTTTTTCTATTCATGCTATAAATAACTTTGCTGTCTTTTAACTGAAATTTTGCAGAATCGAATGGAAGAATCAAAAGCTCTTTTCAAGACGATTATTATGTATCCGTGGTTTCAAAACTCGTCTGTTATTTTATTCCTCAACAAAAAAGATTTGCTTGAGGACAAAATTTTGTATTCACATCTGGTTGATTATTTTCCAGAATTTGATGGTTTGTTTCATTATGTTTCTAGCGCTGATTGATTGAATGATTAATTGATTGGTTGAACGATTAGTTGATTGATCGATTGGTTGATTGATAGACGACTCGATATTTTTATTGAAAATTATGGGTTTATTAATTGTATGATTGAAATGTTTGGAGCGTCATATCACTTAACTCGATTGACAGAATTTTTCATCATCAGGTCCTCAGAAGGATGCTCAGGCAGCTCGTGAATTCGTACTGAAGATGTTCGTTGACTTGAATCCTGACCCTGACAAGATCATATATTCCCACTTCACATGTGCTACAGGTACCTTTCTTATCTCTATAGAAACGTCCACTTTGTTAACAACCCGTTTAGTGCTGTGTTTTTACTCTTTTGACTTGAAAGAAATTTTCTAAAATTTTAATTTAAAATTTAATTTCTTAGGGACCGTTTAAGTATTGTAAATTTAAATAGTCAAACAACAACTTGAAGGGAAAAAATGAAAGCTTTTTTACGGGGTACTAAAGTCATCAATACATGAAAACTCTACTTTTGTATTCTATTTTTACCTCCATGTTCTTTTAAAATGTTTACTCCTTCATTCAAGAATATATTTTTTAACTTTTTAAAGTTAGTTTGCTTTTAGAAAAAGAACTGGAAAATAATATTTCAAGTCGTGTTTCTGTTTGAAAATACTTTTGCAATTAAATTTTAAGTATTCAACATAAGCGATGAGTTATTCTGCTGAATGGGTGAGTTTAACCACTCGAATAGAATTGATATGAAAATTTATTCCAATTTATTAACAGTCTGATATAAAAGCTGTTTAAATAAAAAATGTATATATTCTTTAGTTCCGTTCACGTTGTTAGCATTTGCTTTATTATGTTTTTGACCTCTTTATAAAATTTTAAAAAAATTCTACTTTTCAGAACAGTTTTTTAAATTTCTGACGCATATAAACACTTACAACAAGTACTCAAATAAGTTCAACTGTTATACTTTTTTTATCATACATTTCTTATACGTCTTATCATCTATGCCCGTCTCATTCTATCTAGCATATGTATATTCTTTTTGTATGCCAAAACAATTGTCTCAGTGTTTGTAGCATAGTAAAAACAATACTTTGAGTAAAACAATTTCATTTTAATGAACGAAATGAAATTTTTACGAATACAAAAATTAAAATATCAATATTGGCTATAGTGGATTGCTATTTTGATTTTATACGTTTAAAATTTTTGACATAAAATAATTTTTCAGATACGGAAAACATAAGGTTCGTGTTTGCAGCTGTCAAAGATACCATACTCCAACTAAACCTTAAAGAATATAACTTAGTCTGATTTCTTATTTTTATTTCAATGTTGTTAATGCAAAGATCAATATATAACATTTTATTCATCATTGTGTGATTTACTGGTTGTTATTGATTTAAAAAAGCCATTTCACGTGATCTTTTCAAGAATATAAATGTTGAAATTAAATTTATATTTTATTGATTGTATACAAACAAGTTATCGTTGAAATGTTTTCTAAGAACACGGATGTTTTATTTGACGATAATCGTAATTTTATGAATGTTTCCTATGGGCATGCATGTATTTGTTTGTATGCTGATTTATGTTAATATACATGTACTTTGAAATGATTTTAATTTGTTCATATTTGTATTTAATTGTGAATAATTGAATTGAATTATTAAATTTAAAAGTTGGGAGAGTTTAGACGACCCTTTTACATTAATTTATTTTTTATAATTTATAAACTTTCTTTAACTTTGTATTTTCATTTAATTTTTACGACGCCAATGGTATTAAAATTTATTAATTTTCACCACAATCATAATGATCATTTCTTGTTTGTCCTCGACCTTCCACGAGACCAAGACTTGGACTTTTTTAAATATTTTTTTTTAAATAGAAAGCGTAGTTTTTGATTATGCGTAAGTTCAAGACGGAGCAAGAACCAGATTTTTATTGGGATTCGCATTCTCTAGTTACTTAATGTCGTGAGGGATATTACATCTTCATTTTAATTACCCTTGCTGGTGTTCAGGTACTTGTTCTAAAACATTTTTGCTGTTTCGTGTTTTCCTGATGATAAATTTGTGTATTCTGAAACATCCTCTAGTATTCATTTTCCATTCTCTCATTTTTAATCTCATGCCAAATTAGTTTCATGACTTAATCTTTCAATCGTGATTGATATATTATTTAAATTCTGAAGTTTATGTATTTGATCTACTAATAATGAAGTACGCTGACATGAAGATTCGAACTTATGATTACGATTCTAAAATTGATTCGTAAATCCATGACCCTAAATTTTTTTATCAATTTAACGTTGAACATTTGTTTCAAGTATCTCTACCTAATATATGCGTTCAGTTAAGTTTAATTTCTTTAATTACTCTGGCTTTAAATGAAAATATGGAGCTTGTTTATAAAATTTCGATTGCTCTTGGTACTGCATTTCAAATCATGGAACAATGAATGGTCTTAATGGTCTTGGAAATTCTTTAATTGTTAACAGGGAAGATAACTGTTTAACATCTACTACACCTTAGCATTATCATAGTTTTTTTATTTTCAGTTGTCATAAATTGTCTGTTGATATAATCTTGGCCTGTTCCAACTATATAAAGTATACAAACACACACCCATATATATATGTATTCATGTATGTATGTATATATATATACATGATAATATACGATACATAAACACTTAATACTTGTATGTTCATGATTCAATTCAATCGATGTAAATGTTGTTTAATTTTCTATTTCTGGCTAAAATAGAAAATTTTTTAAAAAAACTAAGTTAAAGTGACTACAACATTGTCCAGTGAAAGTGATTAAATGAAAGAACTGAAACCATAGTGTTAACTGTAATCTCATTAATTGAAGATTTTCAAACTCCGGCCTTTGATTTACACGATAAAATTTTTTAGTTTTTACTTCACAATTTTAAATAACAGCTACTTTTCATTAAAATGAAAGGTACTTCAAAAATCATTTGAAGTCAGTCGGTGTAATTTTTTTTCTATGCAATTATTTTCAATGTTTATGTTATGAGATGTATTGCTCTATTCAGTGGCGGATCTGGGGGCGAAAATTAAAACCTTCCCCAAACAAATTAGTGAAAATTCCCCTCCGGCCATCTACTTTTATTAGAAAATCTTGGCCCCATTCGTCAAAGTAGTCTAGATCCGCCTTTGGCTTTAGCATAGTGAAAGATAATTATATAACTTGCAATACTTATGGTTCATAGCGTATATAAAACTTTCACTACTGTCTTGTAAAGATGCAAATTTCAAGTAGCAAATTTTATGAGCACCAAAGTCTGAAACATTCCAACATCTGTGTTCGTAAAACCGATTAAAAGAATTTTGTGTCCCTACGTGCCGGTCATGAAGAAAAATTGAAAGAACATAAAATACTTCGGCAAAACTTCAAAAAATGGACCGTTGCATAAAAAATTCATTTTTAGTGGAAGACGTCAGAAGTAAAGAACAATGGGACATCGAAACTAGGGTTTGAGCATTATCCCCACTTAACAATCATAAGAAATTGCATTAGAACTATTCCACGCGTTTGCTGATGTTTCATTTTGCAAGGTTGGGATTCTTCAAGTAATGTTTGCATAAATACGAATAAAATGTTCGAAAAACCTAATTGCTTTTATTAAAAAATTGATTGCATTGCGCCGTTTGGTAACATTTCATCACTTTGTCGCACCATTACACAAATGATTTTTTTAAAACACAAGGTTAAAACATTTTTTTGTCTCAAATAATAATTTTTTTATTTTTAACATCACTGATCACTGAAAATTCAAACTCCGACAAAAAACATCGACTATGACACTGAAAACACTTTTCATGATTTAATTATGACATAGTGAAGTCATATTTTGTGTCAAAGACATTTTTACTTACAAAAACTTACATTTTTAAGCCGTTTTTGGCAAAATAAAGTTTGTGCGTTGACATACTTACTGAGGTTAAACATTTATAGATCTTAGGGATACAAAATTGCTAAAATTCAATTGATTCAATTTTTTTCCACTTGCTGTGCTTTTGCAGCAGAACGCGTGTCTACTTATCATCAAGCATTCTTAAATCTCGTTTTTCAAGTTAATGCATACTCGGATGTTTTTCTTTCTTTTCTTGAAAATGGTTAATGTAGAATCATAACGGCTAAACAAATTAACACTAACCCGAGAAAAAATCAGGAGAACTAGTTAGCCTAAATATGTATAACGTATAAAACAACGTCAGGGTATAAATTTTCCTTGAGCTGTAGGGGAGTGGGAATAATGAAAACTTAACCCACTTTAAAAGGGTCTATTGAAAAATTGGTAAAAAAAAGTGAACAATATATAAAAAAATCAGTTAACAGGAATAATGTTGATAGCGAGTTATGAAGGTTTGGAGAACAAAAACAGCTTGTGACAACAAAATATAAATTGCTCAGTCGAAGAATAGATTAAATTATTGAATTATTGATTGTAAATAGTAATACAATATAATTATAAATCGACCAAATTGATGAAAAAGCAACAGAACTACGACGCTTTTCAAATGCTCAAAGAAAGAATCATAAATCTAGCAACGCATACTTTACTTACACTTGCACAAATTGTGGACGAGCTAATAGGTCTTGAATCGGACTAGTTAAGTTAGCTAACAAATCGAAATATACCTATCATCATACAAAAAAGAAATTTTAGTAAAAGTTAAGTTATGTATATATTAAAGAATTAAATAAATAATGTTGTCAACATGGAACGAATTAAATAAATGAACGTTTTCATTAAATACATACGTTTTAATATATACTTGTTTCCATCTGTTTGTATATAATTGTATTTACAGAAATTGATAGAGGTAGTCAGACCTCCGTATAACAAATTTGATGGTTCCAGGAAAAAAAATTCGTTATACAGAAATTTCATTTTATAGAATTTTTTCTGGAAAAATATCTATATTGCTTAAAAAGTGTTTACATGGTATATATTAATGTTTATGATAAACAACTTCCTAATCATTTATCTTTATAACAGAAAGCAATAATACATTGTATAATTGTAAAAAAAAACTTTAAAAGCAAAATTTATCCTTTGTTCTATGCAACGATGATTCCATTGAAATAAATTGAGGTAGAGAACTACTAAAACTACTAGAATACTGGAACAAGAAACAATAGATATGGTCCTAAAATATTAATCCATACAATGTTTGCTGGTCGAATATTTCTTTTAACATTTAAAAATTTTGTTCGTTATAGAAAAATTATTTTTATTCTAAAGAAGCAGATTTATATGTAAAATTCCAAGGGACATAAAAATAATTCGTTATATAGAAATTTTCGTTGTATAGAAGTTCGTTATAAGAACGTCTGACCGTATTAATTCAATTTGCATTAAGTTAACTTATTAGGTTATTTATAGGGATGTAATAAAACGAAGTTTTATGGGTTAGCTCAGTCAGTAGCGCCACGTCTCGGACTGTTACTACACGAAGGCCTTGTTCGAATACTACCTGTCTGAAACTCAAAAATTATTTTACGTCGTGCGTGCAAGATGCACCGTAGAGAAATTAAAGTTAATTTATTAGCTTTTTGATAGAGAAGTTATATAACAGAGTTCTATGGTGAGTTTGACTAGTGTAGGCAAGCTAATGAGCCACAGTCACATGTTGAAGAATAAAATATTACCGATACACAAATTGGATAAAGACTGTCATAAATGCAATTATAGATGAAAACCACAGCAATTAACTTCTTGTTTAATTTTTCTAACGGTAGATCGTAAATCATTGTCAAGTTTATTGAGTTCAAAACCAAAATTATTATTTATTCTAAGCATGATAGAACATTTAAGCATGATAGAACAAAAAAGCTTTTTCGTTATTCCTATACTATACCATCTTCGGTGTTTGAATTGATACGTTGCGTATGTGGCCAGATGCTCACACACACACACATAATATTTATACATAAACACCACACACTGTGTCTCTACTTTGTTTAATGTGAATACCATACCTATAACGATCATTTAATTTTAGTATATATATTTACATCATTTTTATCATTTATATCATTAGCCTTATCTAAAAATATGTCGATGTTCACATTTTACTGAATTTCCCTTTCTACCTTTATTCATTTATAGATTATTTGATGTAATTTATAACGTTTTCATCTATTATTTATTCGATCACATAAGTAAATCAATATTGACAAGTTTTAATACACAAGATAAATGTTTCACAGTTTTTTAATATATTTATTTAAATCATCTTTTAATCTTTCTCTCATGTCTATATTCATTTCACCAAAGTCACACGGCCTGTGATGACAAGGTCTTGATATTTCTTTTTCTTGCCTTAAAATCTTGGGCCTTACAATATCCAAATCTAGATTGAAATGTGCTTTTAGATCAGGTACTATGTTGGGTGGACAGTCAAATTTTATTATGTAATAGCTGCAAAATAAAAAAAACAAAATGATCATTAAATAAAATATATATGTATATGATATGAAAAAATTTATGGTTGAAGCCAGGTTAAAAAACATACTTTCCTTCATCATATCTGTTACCATGTTTAAACATTTTATAAGGAAGCTTTCTTAGGCCAACATTATCAAAACTTCTAATGACACCACCACTATTTAATATTGTTTCTGATGTCCTCTTGATAGCTTTTGATAGATCCATCTGTTAATTAAAAAGCAACATCTAAAAATTTTATTAATTAAGTATTATTTATTAATCAGTAAAAAAATGAGACATAACTTACTCTTCCCAAAGCTTTAAATATAACTGATAATTCATATTGAGGCATGATCTTTTAAAAGATCTGTGATAATATTGTTTTACTATTTTTAGGGACAGATGATATGACTAATTAATACTAAATAAAATAACATATTGATTAAATTAAAAATAATAAACACAGTTTTTAATTAAATTAAACTAATTTGATAACATTAATAATTATTAATTCAAAAGTTAAATTAAATTTTTTAAAATGTTATAATAAAAAAAATTCAATCCTGATAGATTAGTTAATTAGTAAATAGTATCATAGTAACGATAGTAACTATCTATACTAGTATACTATACTACAGAGTAGAGTACAGATACTAACTCTAAAGTGAAAGTCTAACTTCTAACTTGACCTGTAACAGGTCAACTCTCTAAATATTCTAACAAAGTCTAACAATTGATTTGAAATATTATATATTGAAACTTACATAGCGAATGTGCAATGAGACAAACAATCCTAATGTAGAGTGCTGTTAACAATGAATAATCAAAATTTTGTACGAAGTTCCCTCTGAGACGCAAATCTTCATCAACATAAAGAGGTTTACACCGGCGAGAAATAAACAAACAAAAAGGAAAAAGGAACGTTAGCCACGAGGACTACATTTAAAATAATTAAAAATTGAGAAAAAATAGTTTTATGGTAAAGACATTGAGGAGAATATGTTCAAAAAACAAATGAAATGACACAAAAGTTAAAATGAAAATTGAACATCCAATTTTAGTTTAAACGTTAACGTTGAATATTTGGTTTTTTTTCTTGTCACTTCACAGTCTTATGGTTTTCCTGGTTGTACACTCTAACTTGTAAATAAAGCTTTTAACTCTGTTTCACGTCTATCTTATATATATATATATATATATATATATATATATATATATATATATATATATATAATAAAATTCTTTGAAGAGCGCGATTAAACATCGCTGAAATAACGCTTTTCAAACTAATTGATTGATTGGTTGGTTAATTTATTTATTGATTGATTGATTGATTGATTGATTGATTGATTGATTGATTGATTGATTGATTGATTGATTGATTGATTGATTGATTGATTGATTGATTGATTGATTGATTGATTGATTGATTGATTGATTGATTGATTGATTGATTGATTGATTGATTGATTGATTGATTGATTGATTGATTGATTGATTGATTGATTGATTGATTGATTGATTGATTGATTGATTAAACATGTTTTTTTAGTTAACTTTGTTTAGCGTTTTTTAATGATTTTTTTTTATTATAGTCCAATCTTATAAGCTCAATCTTTTTTGAATGATTGTAATGTAAATTGTATGGGCCGTCCATACTTAATACTTTCAAATATTTTGTTGCCGGCATAATCGGGCTGAATTTATTTTATTTTTTTAAATTCGTGGCTAAGAGACGAAATTGCGAGGTTTGTTTGCATTTGCAGTATTTTTCATTGTTACTAGGCAAGAATTACCATCGTATTTATTTAATAAAGCGTCATGAAGATTATGCTGGGGCTTTGCAATCGTTTATTGTTTAAATTATATGAAGTAAAAGTGAAACACTTGAACTCAAGAGTTTTCCATACAAACAAATTGGAGTACGATAATGAATTAGTGAGAAATTACGTTGGTAAAATGGTCACATCTTTCAATGAAACCTCCACCAATGTTTTAAAGATGTTTAATGAGTACAAGCTTGATCAAATAAGTGCCATTAGTATTAAACAAAAACATCTCAGTAAAAAACAAGATGAACTATTGCTCATAAAATCTTCAATTGAATGTGAGTTAATCTTTCCTTTTTACATAATTGATAATTTATAGATTTGTTTATTTTATAATTTTTTGTATTTCAATAATAAGAATAATTGTAATGCCAAGAAGACCCAATTAAGACTGTGACTCAATTCAATATAATCATAATCAGATTAAAAATAAAATTGAAATTTGAAGAAGACAATTTATCACATTTTTTGAAAATTTCTTTTTAAGATTTTTGAAAAAAAACAAATTACAAATAATTTATAAAACAGTTTTAATTAATTGAATTAAAAATATTTGTGATTTTATCAGTTTAAGAATGTTTTAAATTTTTAATTAAAAAAATTTTTTATTAATGATGATAATAACTGAAAAAAATTTTGACATTTTGATAGATTTCCGTACTTGACTGTACTTGATAGTAAAATTCCAAAGCCGACGTACTTTTTAAAAAATTTCGACTTGGCGAAATTTTTTTCAAATTCTGTATAGTTTGGAATTTATATAGTTTGGAACCCTACGCTGCCAGTATAAGTTTCCAATTTTCTCTCTGAGGGATCTTTTATGGTTTTTCTGGTTATTTGTAAATAGTCCATGTCAACGGCCTGATGCATATCAGTGACAAGGTTAGGGTCAGCATAATAACCGAAGCACAACATTCGAACGTTCCAGTTTACAAATCATAAAATTCCTTGTTTATCATTGTAGTGCATGCAAGCTGTATTGAAATTGTCCTTTATTAACTAATTTGTAAAAAATGATACAAAATAATAAATAAGTCGCCTAACATCTATCGAGATTCTTTTGGGCTAGTTTGTAAAATTTTATAACCTGGTGCCAAACTTTGATCTTTTCTTTTACATTCAATATTTTATTGTCGGAAGCTCAATCAAAGATGAAGTTTACAATATAAAATCAACATATTATATATAGTCTAAAATTGTGTAAGACGTTTGAAATAACTATGAAACATTTTTTCACAAAATAAATAATGTCAGATATATTTGGAGCATTGGAGAGTTTGTTGTGATTTTAAATTATTTTTATTAACACTTTTATGTTATTATTTTGTTTCTTAATTAGTTAGATATTTATGTTTTGTTTGTATTTTCAATATTTAAAAAAAATGTTGATAGGTGAAAAAGATGAAGAAATGTTGCGTTTGTTGCGCGATGAAATTGAGTGTTTACAAAATGAAATAAAATCTATTAAAGAAGAAGTATGGTTTTTTCTTTTTTTTATTCAATGTGGCGGCATAATTTTTTTCACGATGAATGTACAGTTCTATCATATTTATCTAACACTTTTATTAGATTGTTACTCTTTTATATCCAGAGGATAAGCCAACAAAGGAAGATATAATATTGGAAGTTAATGCAGGAGTTGGAGGACAGGAAGCAATGCTTTTCACAAATGAAATGTTCTCCATGTACATGAAATATATTAATTATAAAAACTGGACCATGAAGTTAATAAATGTTGACCAATCTAATTTAGGTTAATTGTGATTTGTATAATGTTATAAATTATACTGTTAGCAGGGTCGGATTTGTGATCATAGCGACGGGATTAATACCCTAGAGCCTCAACAAGAGGTGCCTACAAAAGAGATTAAAAAACTTTACAACATTTTGATATTTCTCGTTGAAATAATTTTATTTGTTGGTTATAAACTTTTGAAAGACTTTTTCGGAAAAATTCGTTTCTCCATATCTGCCCTGACTGTTATTATAAAAAATAAGTTCCTGGTATGTGATTTCATACTAAGGCTGTAAGAAAAGACAAAATAGATTACAAAGAAATTGAGAAAAACGAAAGCCATGATAGTCTATCAAAATATGGTTCGAACGAGGGGTAACATTGTGGATAAGAATTTGGGTGTAGAGAAATTATGGGTTGAAATGAAAAATATTAGACTGATGTCAGGTAAGAAAGGGGTCAGCATGACATAAGAAAACATGGTGGTGCAATAAGAGAAAAAAAACTTTTATAAGAAATGGAAAATATCAAAAAACGAAAATTTTCATAGGGCCTATCAAACTTTAAAACAGAAAACTAAGGTAGAAGTGGCGATAGTAAAACGAAAGTATTGCAAGGACTTATCAGAAAATAGGGAATGGCAGGATGGAGTTAGAGGAAATTGCATGAAGGATAGCAAAAGCGTCATTTTTTTTAGACCCAGAGGGAAATGAAAATCCACGGAGGGAGTATATGGAAAATTTGTTAAAAGATGAAAATGATTGGGTTGGGGTTATTGATTCAAATTTAAATGTAGCAGAGGCTGAGTATATTAAATTATATTGTCTTCATTGAAAAGTGCTTTCATTGAGATATTATTAAGATCCATTATGACACCGTGGTTTCTAACTGAGCTATTGAAGTCATAAACTCAATTTACGGGAACTTCCCAAACATATATGTTGTTGCGTTTTTAAAGTGTTGAGTCCTAGTCTGTTTGCAATCATCCAATGTCTGACTACATTCAATAAATTTGCAGCGGTTGTTTGCAAAGAATATAATTTGTTTGGTAAACTAAAACCGCAAAGTTGGAAGTTCAAATGACATGAAATACTTGTTTGGGACTTCCTTTCTGAGCATTGCTGCACTTAATTTGGGCTGTTCAGTCACCTGGAAACTAGAAAGGCCGCCAAAATTTCAAAAAGATAACAGCTACATGTTTCCATGCCGCCCACAAGCAGGTCCAAGATTAACAATTAAATGACAGATGCGATTGATTAGTAAAATATTTCAAATTTTTTGTTTACTTGGAATGAAGGTTTTTATTTATAAGTTGACTGACTGGTGTTTTGAAACTTATGTTTGCGTTGACGAAGATTCTGGGTGATCGTTTTGATAATAGAGAATGGATGAAGTTAGTTTTTTAAATGTACGTCTGTTCAAATAAATTCTTATGATTTTAGTTGCAGTGGAATTATTTGATTATTTTAAATGATATAATAAATAAAAATCACAGGTGGAATAAGACACGCAACTGTGTCTGTATCGGGCGTGAATGTTTTCAAGCGAATGATGTTTGAAGCTGGAGTTCACAGAGTGCAGCGATCCCCTCTAACAGATAAAACAGGAAGACTGCATACTAGTACAATGACCGTTGCTGCTTTTCTTCAACCAAATGAGGTTTTTCATAGTTTTTTGTAGATAAACTTTACTAAATGTTTTTTTTATTAAAAAAAACTGGGAATGGGATGTTCTTTACTCAAAGCAAGCTTCAAAGAAGCAATGTGATGAGAAAAGAACTTGTTTTTAAGTTTAAAATCTAATTACGTGCATGTACATTTTAAAAACTCAGTTTGTGCTATTTATTTTTTTAAAATATGCTGAAAAACCAGGTCAAATAAGAATATAAAGGTTAAAAATTTGAATGAGTTTAAAAGTTTACTCTAAGTTATTTAATTGAGCGACTAAATATTTCTGTTAAGTGTAATTTGCTCATTTAACTCATTGTCACTAAAAATTAAAATATTTTGAGGTGCAATGGGGGCATCATGTTTTTAAACTTGCAAAAAACTTTTTTACGTTACTTTTTTCACTTCATATTTTTCAACAGTTTGTTTTTACACATTTTATAAAAACCTTCTCAGTAATTTATATTGTTGAAACTTTTCAAAATAATTGTTCATAAACTTATTCTGGTTGGTTAATTGGAGATTTGCTAAAATGAGAAAATTTTAGTGATGGGAATGTATATTATCGTGATTTTCTTTATTTTGATAATAATCATTTCTGAAAATCTGGGTATTCCCATCGAATGATTTCTCTACATGTAAAGTAAAATGAATATTATTACTCTTTCCAACATGAAAATGTTCTTTCTATTCTCTGGTGCAACTAAAATTGGACCAACCAAATCATAGGTCAATCAATGGCTGTGCTAAACATCTGAGATTCTATAAACGGTTTTCTGTTTTCATTAGTTAACATCAGTGTTAAACAAAGGCCTCTGACATTTATCCTTACAATAACTTAAATTATCGACAGGATTAAGCTATGAACAACTTGAAAAATACATCATAACTATTGCGCCATCGCGCTGACCAAATTATTTTTAGCAATTTTTTTTCAATTTTTACTTACGAGGTTATGATCTAGTGAATTTTATATTTGAAAATTGTCTTTTCGGCCAGTGATCACGCATGTTTTATTGCCTAATTATTTTAAAATTATATATATTTTCTCAATTTCGAGATTGAAGTCGTTTTGAATCCAAAAGATTTGAAAATTGAGACATGTAAATCGAGTGGAAAAGGCGGGCAACATGTGAACACAACGGACAGTGCCGTCAGAATAATTCACTTACCAACAGGTTGCTTTTATTTCTTTTCTTCTTTGTTACCATTGCATGGAAAATGCAAGATTTTATTTTATACGAAAATTTTTCTTGTTTTATTAATTTTTGTAAAAGTCTTAGTTTACTGTCTCTCTATTTAAATCCATTCAGCAATTGATGCATAAATTTTGCTGTCCTTATAAATTAACAAGCATTTGAGGCATGGTTTAGAAAAATAGCAGAGGCTAGCTGATGATTTCTTCAAAACTTGAGCATACAAATATTTGTTGCAGGAGCATTTGCGTTGAAGTTATCCAGATCTTGAAAATAAGACAGTTTTTTTATTTATATTTCAACAATTTATTTGCTCACACAAAAACAATAGTTATGTACAAAAAGGATACCGGAAAAGATAAAATCTTAATTAAATCGGTCCCACAAAATCAAAAAACTATGAAAATACGAAAGTAAATCGTGTTATTAAACATAAAAAGTAAAAAAGTTTATTAAATAAATGAAATCAAGAATAAGTTTCGAAAATTACTGTATACTATTATATAGACTACAGTAGTTAATTAATTGTTTGATCGACATCTGTGAGCATAAATTCAGATTTTCAAAATCTTTTTTAAGCACGTTTCTGCAAGACCTGAATCATTGCTATCAACAACAGTTAAAACCCAAAAAAACACCATAATGATGTAATTTGTATAAAAGAATGTCTTGCTGGATGTTATCAAAAGCCTTCGTGAAATCAATAAAAGTTTATAAATTATGATGTTTTTGGAAAAACATTGTTGCGGAGATTTATTATAGACATTTCAATTGAAAGGCCTGCAGGAGAACCATATTATCGATTAGTTATAAATAATTTTATATTTGTTCAGAAAAGAATCGATTCTTTTTTAATAAATTTTTCATAAATTTTTGACAAGAGAGAAACACAACTACTAACTAGGTCGATAATTAGCCACATCAATTTTTGACCCAGAGGTAGAATAATTTTTGAAATTTTTAAACTGTCTGGAAAATTTTTTAATTTCAATGATTTATTGATGAGAAATGTTAATATGCTACATATAGTTTTTAGATAAATTAACACAATTAAGACTGAGTTAGAAAGGGAGAAAGTGATATTGATTATTACAATTGCATTTGTTGGTTCAAGATAACAAGTGAAGGAATTGCTTTGGTTGATACATGATTTTATAGTTGGATCAAGGAGCGCTGAATTATTAAAAGAGCTTATAAAGTATTTGTTGAATGAGTTAGCAATATCTTGATGTTCAAGGATTAATTGATTTCTTGATGATTATTGTTTTTTTTTAACTTTGCGTTTGTTTAGTTGTAGAAATTTACGGTAATTCCAAAATTTTATTCACTGTAAAATAAATATTTAAATGATAAAATTTTATTCCACGAGCGATTTTCATACAGACACATAAACAATCGTACGTTACAAATATATTTATTTGTTTGGAAATTTATCAAAATAAAAATAATAATAAAAGAATATCATTATCATTGAAACGTCAAAAGAGCTCGATTAACGGTTAATAGAAAATTTGAAAAAAGCTGTGACAATATTAAAAACAAACAAGATCAAAAACGTAAAACATAGTAATAAAAGTTACTTTGCAATTGCTGTTAATTTAAAATTTTTGTTGAATTTTTTTCCTCGTTGTTTTGTTGATGCGTCCATCGACGATTACACATCAATGAACTCCTCGAACTTTTATCGTCTGCCGGCGTTTTTTTCTTTGATGCTTAAAGCAATTAGCGAAAAGCGGACATCAAAAACCTCGATTTAAATTTCAGTCGATATTTTTTTTTGTCTGAAGTTATTAAGCTATCCCTCTTTGTGTCTTGATCCCCAGCTCCAACAAAGTCATGCACATACTTGTCTACAATTATGGTATCATTGTTCAAATCTCATGGATAAAAACAACACGACTTAAAGTAGTAGTTCAATTCAAATATAGTTAAAAAACTTATTTTAACTGACATTTCCTCGTCCAAACATAAACAGTCTCATTCATCACCTTCATAACGGCTTCTTCTGTGGAACGTCTTTTACGAAAGCCAAATTGATTTTCTGTTTCTGAAATTAAGCATATATTCTTCAGAAAAGATTTATTTCACCTCTACAACCTTTTTGACGTTTTTTGAAATTGAACTATAAATACTAATAGGTTTATAAAAAAAAAGATTAAATAAGTGAGACCACACACTACTTATAGAATTAGCAACATGTTTTGAAATTTGTTTGATATATTATCTAGACTGGTTGTGTTTAAAAAGGATTTAAGTATTTTAATAATCTCACATTGATTGATGGGTGAACAATAAAAAGAACATTGTGTACTGATGTTGCATGCAAAAATTAAAAATTTTTTTGTTAACGGCAGATTTTGGTGTGATCAGGTTTAAACAATAATTGTTAAAAATGTTATCTATTTGTTCGCTTCCATTACGGTGGCACCGTCGCTGACAAACTTCATCATTTCGGGTTTTAGCGTGTCTGGATAAAAATGCTGAGAGTTGTAAAAAAAGTTTTTCAGTTATCAAAATAACCGTCATTTATTGACAAATGGTCATTAAAAATTCAAGCGGGAAGCGATTTATATAAAAAAAAAAACAAATGAGTTGTTGATGTGTTGTAACAGCCATTTTAATTATTTGTTTAGTTTTATTCATTCCAGTTGATCACTTATCATACTCATCAAGTTGGTATGCATTAAGTCATCTGATTGATCTTTATTAGAAAAATCTTCCAATGGTGTTTTGACTGAGCCGTTTATTGATTATTTTTCTGGTGACTTGAAAAAATTATTTATGCGTGGTTGATTGGTTTGTTATTCTGACTGATCATAGATCCAGTTTCTGATGACCGTACCATCCGGCCAAAATATAGGATCATTATTTTTACTCAGAATAGTTGAAAGAATTTTTTAGGTTCTCTAATTTCTTATTTTGTTCATTCAATACATCTTTTATTAAAATCTCTATACGTATGAAAATTTGACTATCCTATAGAACTTATTTGAATTTGAAAACAATTTATGAATTCAGTAAACTATTAATTCAAAATTAGATACTTTTTTCAAATAAATGATTATCAATGGATTCTCTTCAAATTCCGCCTGCAAGTTATTCCAAAATTTCAGATAAAAAAAAAATCATTTTTTTCATAGAATTTACGAAAAAACAGTCAACTAAGACAAACCAAGTCAAGCGAATTTATTTTTATTATTATTTATTATTACCCCATTTGAAAGGTTGCTCATTCAATTTGCTCATTTAGTAATTTGTTTCAGATACATTTTTTGTCCTTTTTTGTATTAAACGAATCACTGCTTCTACACAGGCATCAAAACATTAGATAAAATATAATTTGTATCAGATATACAAAGTTTACAAACAAAACAAACTTATCATCGTCAGCAAAATTTGAAAGTTTGAATGGTTTGCAGATGAACTTTTATTAGCAGGATGATTTGATAGATTTACAGCACGAACAATGTCTGGTTCTCCAATTAAAACCGCTGAAACTTTTTATCTGTTAAATAAGGCTGTCCTGACAAAAATTGACAAAGTTTTCACGTTGAAGCAAACTCGTGTCTACTTCGTTTCGTAGTCAGCTATGGTCGAAATAAGATACTTTTATATCATGTGATTAGTTCTTTTATTTATTTGAATGTTATATTTGTAAGTAATTCTTGCTTTAAAGTGTAATACTTATGTCTCTTACGTTTTCAATAGTCATTTAATTTTGACAGGCATTTCAGCTGAATGTCAGAACGAGAGGTCACAGCTGCTGAACAAAGAAACAGCCATGAAACTGCTAAGGACAAAGTCGATATTCACATTTAATTGTTTCTTTCTTTCTATAAGTTTAATTCAATAAATTATTCAACAGAATTTTCGAGAAACAAAATGAAAGCATTCAAAACGAAATTACTGATAAGAGAAAAATGCAGGTCGGTTTACATTAATTATCGTATTGTATGACTATATTTTTATTATTATTATTATTTACAAGTTTATCTCGAAGGCGCAGACATTGTGTAGTGTGTGTATGTGTGTATATTTTAAGATTTTATTCAATTTGTTATTATTTCAAAAAGTCAAAAATAAACAGTAAATTAATATTATTGCTGAATGCTCAAAATTGTGTTAATTTATCTAACATGTGAAATGTATGCTCCATTATATACATTTTAAAAAAATTTTAAAAAATTACACTTTTTCTCTTTTATCTTCGTACATCCCAAAAAACTTTTCCTTAGTTGATTCTATTTTCTTGATTTTGAAATGTTTGTTTTCTCATCATCACATCCAAATGTGTTTCTCCAAAGAGATTTATCTGTTTAGTTTTTAATAATATTGGTCTAATAATAATATTTAATAAACCACGTTGACAATTATTAAACTGGAAGCCAATTATGTTGCACCAATATCTCGCAATTTTAAGATATCTTCAAACTGTTCATTTGCCCGTACTTGTCGAAGACATTATTATATCTTTGAAATTGTTCATCACTTTATTTTTCATTTCTTTCTTTAAAATAAAATTTGAAGTTGTAGTATTTCCTAAAATTAGATGATTTTCCATCGAGGGAAATCTTATCGTATTTCCCAGCTTCCGCAACAGCAAAATTTAAATCACGTCGAGCCAATGAGATGGGGAAGCAAGCGAGAAAAACAAAATCATTTGAAGAGGAACAACTTTTTTCAATAACATATAGGAATGGAAAAGGCTAATTGGTAAATTTTCATGGTTGGTCAAAATAAATGATTGTTTCATGCGGAAACAATTCATGCTTGTGTGCTAATTTGTTGACGTATACGCGCACACAGCTTTGGGGAATACTGCATGGTAGTCAGGAATATGTGCCCTAACCCATTTATTTACGTTTAGCATTTTGTTTTTTTAAAAAGTTTATTATCCAAACTGTTTAATGTTGTGTTTCATAAAATTTAATATATTTCTTGCGTGTGGTCATTATACATCAAACGATATGCTTTGTATTGTGGCTATTTTGTCATGTCATTATTGTGTTATAAAATTTATAAGTTTTGCGCTACACAATGTATGATATCTCAAATGTCATTTTAACTTGCGATATTGTTTTATAATTGAAAATTGTTTTCCATTTGAAAACGCATTTTTAACTATGAGTTTTATATTAATTTATAACTCAGGTCGGTAGAGCAAACAGAAATGAAAAAATACGCACATACAATTTTAAAGATGACCGAATATCCGATCACCGAATTAATCATAACGTATTTGGCATTCAAACATTTTTTGAAGGAAGAGAAAAGTTGGATGCTTTAATTGACATCCTTGTTTTGGCATCAAAAGAGCAGTATATTCTTACCAAAATAAAGGAACTATTGAAACAATAAACAAATTTGATCTTTTGGAGATGTTTGTTCGATTCTTGTGTTTTATAATTTTATATTGTTAGCCAATAATTTATATAAAAAAAATTATAAATTTTAATTGGTCTTATAATTTTTTATGTGTGGAAGAATAGATAATATATATAAATAAATAAATATATATATGTATATATATATATATACAATACAATAATACAATACAATATTTTTTTATTTGACTTCAAAGAAAAATAAAGGTACAGGACTATTGCAGGGAGTCTTTAAGAGACTCATCGTGCACAGTAACCTTAATAGAAAATAATCCAAATTAACATTTAAATGCAATGTCATCAAGAGAAAAAGTAAAAATTTTAACAAACATGATAATGATTGTTGATCAGTTGAAAATTTTTAAGTTAACAAGAATGTTAAATAGAATAGAATCATTTGGAACATAGTCATATATATATTTATTATAACCAAAATTTTTATTTATTTTAATCATGATAGAAAAAAAATATATATAAAAATTTTAATGATTAAAAATATATAAAAATGATTATTTATTTTAATCAAGATAGCAACTGATCGTCTAATTTGGCGCAAAAAGTTGATGGCAAAGAAAACAACGTCCTACCTCGGGGAACCGGGTCTCTGGATGCAAAACGAAGATTGATTGATTTAATCATGATAGGTCATTTGAGCATGATAGAATAAAAAAGCTTTTTCGGTATTCCTATACCGTCTTCGATGTTCGAATTGATACGTAGTCCGATTCAGCCGCATCTAAACTTTGCATCAAGGATCAGTGTTATCACCGTTTTTGTTTGCAATTGTGATGGATGTTGTGTGTGGAAACATAATGGAGGGGTTGTTATTTGAGATTTTGTATGCAGATGATTTAGTCTTGATGGCTGATAGCATGGAAGAATTGCAGTTAAAATTTGACAGATGGAGAAGTGTTATTGAAAAGAAAGAGTTAAAAGTTAATATTGGTAAGACGAAGGTAATGGTGAGTGGGGAAGGTGGGGAGCGAGTGATAAGCAAAATAGACCCCTGTGGAGTATGTGACAGTAGGGTGAAAGCTAACTCGGTATTGTGTATAGGATGTCAGAAGTGGGTGCTTAAGAGATGTAGTGGTGTGATGGTGGCACTGAAAAAGGTGTAAGACACGTTCAAATGTAAGAAATGTGTTCATGGTGTGATTAATTGCACGGACGCGAGGACGGGGTTGAGTGGTGGTATTGAAAGAGTGAAAAGCTTTGTTTATTTAGGGGTTAAGCTGAACGCGGATGGAGGATGTTTGAGCGCTGTTACGGCTAGAGTTCGTGTGGGATGGATGAAATTTAGGGAACTGGGTGGGGTATTGTGTAGAAAGAAATGGTCAGTGAAGATGAAAGGGAGGGTATATAAAGCATGTGTGAGAGCAGCGATTGTATATGGTGGTGAAACTTGGGTGTTGAGGAGAGAGGAGGAAAGTGTACTGCAGAGGGCTGAATATGTGGGGTTAAAGTGGATAGGATTAGTAGTTCAGAGCTGATTTCGATGATGGGACTGAATGAGGACATTGTGACATTGATATGGAGATCGAGATTGCGGTGGTATGGACATGTGCTGAGAAGGGATGAAAGGGTCGGGATTAGGCGAGCGTTGGAGTTCGAGGTTGAAGGAGTGATAGGAAGGGGTCGTCCGCGATTGGGATGGAGAGAGCAGGTGGAGAAGGACAGAGTGAAATCGGGGTTGCGTGATACTGAGGCGAGTGACAGATGTGAATGGCGTCGAGGGGTATTTCGGTTTCATCATAGGTAGCCAAACGGCAACCCCCGATCTCCGGGAAAATGTCTAAACGTGAGTTGTTGTATATATATAGATATATATTTATATATAATATATATATATATATATATTGATAAAATGTTTGTTAGTTTTCTGTTGAATTTTTCCATTTTTCTAAAGATAGATTGTCATTGTCAAGTTTCTTGAGTCAAAACCAAAATTTTTATTTATTTTAATCATGATAGGTCATTTGAGCATGATAGAATAAAAAAGCTTTTTCGATATTCCTATACCGTATTCGATGTTCGAATTGATACGTAGTCCGATTCAGTCGCATCTGAACTTTATATATTTGACGGTGGCAGTGGCTACCATTTGACCGCTCAGACTTAACTCCGAAAACAGTATTTAAATACGTAAAAATTTGCATTTATATAAAACAAATTGTCACAAAAATTTTTAGTAATAATTTCAAATAATATTTTTAGAAAATTTATTTTTTTTAGTTATTTTTTTAAATTGAATCTAGTGAATTGTCTCTTTCTTCTCAGATTAATAGTGTGGCTATAAGTTCTACTGTTAGTTAAGATTTTAGTCAATCCCCATCAGATTATTTAATAGCGTTGCTAAAAGTTCTTACTTTTATCTACGTATAATAAAAAACTTTTGCCTTTAACAAGGAATGGCGAATTTATTAACGTTTGGTCTTTTAGTCCCCATTAATCATACTCTTCTCTTTGTTATTTCTTTATTTTTATCTAAGATTGATAATTGTAACTCGCTCAACTATGGTATTTCTGATTCTACACTCTCTCCTTTAAATAAAACTTTCAGCTCTGCTGCTCATCTGATTGCCCGTGCCCTTATTTTTTGTCATATATCTCCATATCTTGTTCTCTTGCACTGGATATAAATAAAATGTGGAATAATTTTTATGTATAAGTCTCAATCTAAATTATTTTCTAAGTATTTAATCCAATATATTAATTGAACCTAAATGTCCCGGTTTACGATCGTCTTCTTGTTTTCACTTCCTCTTAACTCGTGTTAAACACTTTTGTTAAATCTGCGTTTGCTTTTTCTGGCCCTTTTCTCTATTTCCATCTCTGACTTCTTTATCACTTGCGAAGTTCAGAATAAATCTCAAGACCGTTGACCTTGAGGAGTACGTCATTGTATTTTTATGGTAGTTTAATATATTTATGCACACAAACGTATAAATTCTAAAAAAATTTTTGGAAGTATGATATTTACAAACTAATTCAACTAAACTTAAGGGCCCTATGCCCCCATTTAAAATTGTCTCGTTCTTACTTATGTTTATAATTTCTTGTTAAGTTAAGTCTACTATTATTTTGTTGCTTTTTTAGCTACTTTTCAATAATTAATAAATTTATATGTTAAGACCCATACGTTCGAAAAATTAAGAAGTGCTGATGAACATCGTGGAAAAGCACTTATAGAATTAAACTAAATGATTGAAATTAAATTGATTATTAATATTTTTTGGATAACTCATATCTATTAAATTACATTTAGAATTGAAATTGCCAGACCAGAATATTAACCTGACAGCTAGTGTCATTAGGAACTGTTCATAAAGGATGTTACGCTATAACAGAGTGTGTCAACATTTTTGACATTTAGGGACAAGGGGGAGGGTATGAAAACATGTGACTTTTCCAGATTTTCAATTTTTATCGCTAATTTTGCATAAACATTTTATTGACAAATTGTATATGTTCAGCCATGGATATAATATCCATGCGTTCAGTACGCATTATCTCTGCGCCAAAGTATGCGTGGCGCCAATTAAAATTGTATTTGACGTTATAGCTGTTAAACTTAATACAACTATATATATATATATATATATATATATATATATATATATATATATATATATTCGATCCAAATGGTTTCGGTTTTTTACAAGTAGCTTACCAATGTATAAACGTGTATTCCAAATTTTACGTCTGCATCATTGATATAATATATATATCCATGGTCTGCATGATATATTATATAGGTCATGGTAAGATTCCAACCTTAAGTAACTTACGTATTTTTGGACCTAGTAGAAATTAATTCTAAAATTAAAATCGAACATCATGTCGGAATTGGAAAATGAAGAGGATGGTTGCGTGACCCTGACTAATTTGGTTGAGATTGTTGATGAAGAAGAGAAACTTATTGAAGATGCCGATGCCGTTCTTGGTGCAAGCGATGACAAAAACTGTACATACCTAATGGTCTGCATCTGATTTTTGTTTTGCTTGCTATTTTAAAAAAACTATTTTATTAAGTTATATTTTAATAGAATTTATATGATTTTATACAACGAATTATAATTTTAGTATAACAAAACTTTTAAGACTGTCATTTTTCTTCCACTTGAGCAAAAAATGTAAACTTTTTTTGAAATAGAATAAAAAAAAATAAATAAAAGATGCTGCTTACACATGTCATTTATACATCATCCATTCTGTATAATTCTATGCTTTTAATTGTTTGCCACATCATTTTTATGCACACGCTAGCCCTGCATTTTACATGCATTGTCTATATATATTTTTCAGATCATATTCGTCAGGCTATTTTGTAATGTAACAGTGCAAGACATGGCTTAGTCAAAATTAGCTGAAAAAGATTGTGAAATATTTACTGAGTTAAGACTATGTTGCTGTTGAATTATCCTCTAATAACCTTCAAGAGAATATTGGAATAAGTTGTCAATCTTTATGTGCTAACAATGCCATTGATTTTTTTTTTTTTTTTTTTATCCAATTTATTTTGTCAAAACAGGTAATCAGAAAAGAAAAACTTGTGTAGACTACCTTAACTAAATGGTGCAATTAAATTATATCATTTTAGTAACATAATACGGACAGAAATGATCAAAAACAAAATAACAATAAATTGATAATATAATTCAGAACAGTTTTAATTTAAAACGAAAATCGAATAAAATTTGAGTTACCTATTATCGCATCATAAATAAAGTTAACAATTTAATATTTTAGATTTCACAGCGTGTTTAAAGTTGACAATTGACTTCGATTTATACGCGTTAATAGCTAGTTCGTTCCACAATTTGGCACCTCTAACCATCCAATGACGATCATTAGTGACCGTTCTGCTTTTTGGTATTTTTAATAAGCCGTGTTGCCTAGTCGCAGAACTTGTAAACTGAAAAGAGTTGAGAAACTGATAATTGTCATAGTTGATTACTTTGAACAAAAAAATTAAAGTTATATATTTATTAATTTCTTCTATTGTAAAAATTTTATTTTTAGCAAATACATAACTGGTGTGATCATATTTACTTAGGCCGAAACATATGCGCACGAAATACTTCTGTGCAATAAACACCTTACTAATCCAAAACTTAAATGTTGAGCCCCAAAATATGTTGCCATAAATAAGGTATGGGTAAAAAAAAGAATAATAAAGCATAAGTTTGGTACCACAATCCAACTTGTCACGGGCCTTATAAACAATTCCTATCACTTTATATAATTTATTTAATATAAATAATATGTGATGATTCCAATTCAAATCACTTTGAATTGTGATTCCTAAAAATTTTGTTGAATACACGCGTGGTAATGTGGTGTCGCCAATTTTTATGGAATAGTTGTCAAAAAGTTTATTGTTAGTCCTAATTTTAGGACCAAAGATTATATAACATGATTTATGTAAGTTCAATACCATATTATTTAATTTGAAGTATTTATTATATTTTTTAAGTTCCTCGTTCATTGAATTAAATAAAACTACTGGATCCTTATCAGTCAAAAAAACATTGGTGTCATCCGCAAAAAGAATTGAAGTGCAATGATGGGACACTTCGAAAATGTCGTTGACAAATAAAATAAACAACAACGGCCCCAGTATCGATCCTTGGGGCACACCTGTCTGAATGGTCAATGGAGCTGACTCAATACCATCAATCGACACAAGCTGCGTACGATCACATAAATATGACGTTAGCCATCTAGAAGCAACATCTCGAAATCCATAATTTTTCAACTTTGATAGCAAAATTTTATGATTTATAACGTCGAACGCCTTTTTCAAATCAATGAAAATACCCAATGTAAATGATTTGGATTCAAAGCCATTAAGTAAAGACCGGTACAACTCTGCAACTGCTCGCTCAGATGACGATTTAGGAATAAAGCCAAACTGATTTTTGTTAATAATATTAAATTTAATTAAAAATTTCCACATTCGGTTAAACATTAATTTTTCAAAAATTTTGGAAAAAACAGGTAGAATTGAGATGGGTCTATAATTTTCAAATTGGTTAGGGTCACCGCTTTTGAAGATAGGCAAAACTTTTGCTGTCTTCAATTTATTAGGAAATTTCCCGATTTTTATAGATTTATTAAATAATTCTGAAAGTGGAGATGCAATATAGTGGATAGTATTTTTTATTATTTTTGTGGAGAGAGAGTTTAAGTCATAACTATTTTTTAATTTAATCTTATTAGTAATTAAAATGATTTCATCTGGAGTTGAATCATACATCTGGAATGCAGGATAGCAAGCATTGCTTGGTGATACATAATCAGCGTTTGTAGAGCCATCAATTAATCTTTGCCCCATTTCAACAAAAAATTTATTGATGCTGTTAACAGTTTCTATTTTTTCCGTCAAATCAAGTTTCCCTTGAAGGAGATGAGATTTATTAGTACGTGGTTTGACAATATTATTGATTGTATTCCATTTTTCTTTAATGGTTTTACAACTTTGGAACTTATTTTCAAAAAATTGTTTTTCTTGTGTTCGTTTGATTTTTGTAAAATGATTTCTATACATAGTATATGTCTTTTTATTATCAGCCGTTGGATTTAATAAATATTTTTTATATAGGGTGTTTTTATGGATGGAACAGTTATATAATTTTATATTCATCCATGGCTTCCTGAAGCGGTCCCTACGACTTATCATGGGACAAGCGACGTCTATACAGTTCATATAAATTCTAAAAAAATTTTCATAATCAATATTCAAATCAATAGGGTCTTGGAGTTCAGGCCACTTTATGCCAGACAGCATACTATTGGCCTCTTGGATATTCTTTTCATCAGTTAATCTGGTATGGATTAAGGGACGTTTACTACATTTATTAATACATTTATTTTTTTTATGCGGAATGCATACAAAAATAGGCATATGATCAGTGATATCCTCACAAATTATACCTTTTATCAAACTACAGTTGTCATTAGTTAAGATATTGTCAATGACAGTAGAGCTTGAATCAGTAATTCTTGTAGGTTGGTTGATTAAAAAAAACAATCCTAGACCAGCCATACTATTGATGAAGTTTCGTGAATAAGCATTGTTAACTGCCAGATTTATATTAAAATCCCCCAAGATATATAGTTTGGATTTGCAGGCTTTAATGTGTTGAATAAAAAGTCAGAAAGCGACAGAATAAATTCATTTATGTTGGCATCAGGTGGTTTGTAAACGCATAAGAAGTAATGCTTTTTACCATCTATATTGGTTGTAATGCCCGACCATTCAAAAAAATCAGACGAGTATAAAATGCTATTGTGTAAGTTAGAATAAATAATAGTTCTGTTTATTAAAAATCCTGTACCACCACCTTTCTTATTTATTCTGTTGTTACATACAAATATATACTCTGGAAATTGAATGTGCGTACTATTATCAATTTCATTGTTTGTAAACCACGTTTCACTCAAAGCTACAATTGCTGGTAGGATACGCATGCCATATATGAATAAGGATATATCATTTAAATGCGCGGCAAAACTGCGACAGTTTAAATGTATAACATTTGTATAATGAATATCAGATTTGTGACAAATTAAGTTATTAAATTCAATAGTTGAATAATAATTTGATAAGGAATTTAATAATCCAAAATCATAATTTAAATCCACGTCAATGTCATAAAAATTATTCAGAATCTTATCATTAACATCATCGTCGTCATTATTTTGTAAACCAAACTCAATATCTTCATGACCATATATATCAATTTCATCATTAATATTATCATCAATATTATTCACGACAATTTCACTCATATCAACCCCACTACGAACATCCCTCACGACAACATCACTCATTTCAACCCCACTCCAAACGTCACCCATAACATCACCATTCATATCAATCACACTACAAATATCATTCACAACATTACCACACATATCTACCACCCTACAAACGTCACCCACAACGACCTCACCAACAGCCGAAGTATCAACAGCACCAGACACACTACTAGTATTCACTGTACATTTGAATCTGATTGAAAATTTAAAAACATTATTTATTATTAGAAGGCATTAGTAATCCTAGGGATTCAATTGTGACATAATGCAACTTGTAGATCATTTTATCTAATTTTATTTTTGTGAGCTTGTAAGAAAATTTTCTGTTGTAAAATATTTAACACAAACATAATTTTATTTTTTGTAGGGGTATGTTGGCCGGCAAGCTTTATATTCTTGCTTGACTTGTAAAGATCAGTCCACTGATAAGCTATCAGCAGGTATTTGTTTGGCCTGCTCTTTGAGTTGTCATGTTGGACATAATCTTGTGGAATTATACACCAAAAGGTTATGTTTTGTTCTTTTACAGAGTGTTCAAATTGGGCCCACCAGTTCATTTCATTTTATGCAGCCCATAAACATTTTTGTTTTATGCTTAAGGACAATTAATTTCACTTTTTTTTACATCTTTAATTTAAAAGCTTAAATAAAAACCAGGGTCTCAGAAGTCATTGTGCTTAATATTGTATTTTCGCTACTCTATATTTTTTTTATTGAAGTCATTTAAAATATTTTGTTCCCAAGTTTTTTGCCATGTGTTTGGTAAACAAATACTTAATTGTTTGAATATCAATTTAAAAAAGCCTAAAATTGCTGAATAGTTTCATTTTAAATGCTTAAACAAGAATTACAGCAAATGTTCTGGTTTCACATTTCGTAAAATTATTTGTCAAAAATCATGAACTATTGCAGAACTGTTGTCAAAAACTATGAAAAAATGCAATTTTGTAAAATGTAACTGCTCTTTTGAATAAGACTATTTTGTACAATATTGTATGAATTCTTCCAAATTTTATACAATATTGTATAAAATGTTGTATGATTTTGACTGAATTGCTAACAACAGCAACAATTTACATCGGCATCCATTATAACCAATAATAACATCCGTCCAGTGTTTCTTCTGGGGCCTGTCGAAAATTGTCTTCTAGATCCGCCACTTTAAATTTGTCAGCCTCGCTATGGAAATAACTAAGATGGCTAGTGACCAGTATCTGAATTATATCGTCTGCAAATGCATAGCAGACAAATCTACGAGAGTAGATTAACTTTGATATCTGAAGCAAACAATATGAATAAGATTGCTTCCAGAACTGAGCCGTGCAGTACCCCAGATCCAACCTCTGCAACATCAGAAACCTGTTGTGTATGGTTACCCAAATATGACTCAAATTATTCATGAGCTGTTTCAGTTATACAGTAGTTGTAACACAATCTCTTATTTTTGTATGCAACTCTATTTTTGTTTGCTTTTTTTATTATTCATCACAAGTAATGACTTTAAACTAAATAATTTTAAACTAAAACAAACATATTCTACATTTTTAATTTACATGCAAGTTATTTCAATAGTGACGTTTTAATATTAATTTATTTTGCAGACAATTTAGATGTGATTGTGGTAACTCAAAATTTCCTGTTGGATTTGCTTGCAAGCTTTGCCCAGTTAGTAAAATATTTATTATTTAGAAGTTTCAAAAGTTTTTTAGCACAAGATTATATATATATATATATATATATTAGGGATGCAGGATTCAGGTTTTTCAAATCCGGCCGGGGCCGGACTTAAAATTCAAAAACCGGCCGGAGCCGGGGCCGGATTTTAGTTACCATTTTACATACATTAGAAAAATTCTCACATTTACGGTTATCTACATGTTGAACATCAAAAAATAACACCAAGCAAATAGTTATTTAATTCAAATGTATGAATAAGTTGTGTGAAATTTTGTACACAAAGATCAGCTTATAATTTATGCATATTTGCATAACCCATGTTAAAGCACAAAGAAAATTGTCCAGCTCACCGCACAATTAGTGATGTTGTAATTATCTGTCATGTATACCTAGCCTAACCTTTAACATACCATGTTCTTAAATTATGTGCTTATGTATCTCTCTCTCTCTCTCTCTCTATATATATATATATATATATATATATCTCTATATATATATATTATGTAGCTATATGATCCGTCATGTGCAATTATCAATATATAGTATATACACGTGCACAAGTTTTTTTACACAAAGATCAGCTTATAATTTATGCATAACCCATGTTATAGCATAAAGAAAATTGTCCAGATCACCTACAATTAGTGATGTTGTTATTATGTGTCATGTATGCCTTTAGCTTAGTCTTTAACTTATTGACATAAAATTAATTGAATTCAATAAAATTTTTTTTTCTATTTATACCATTTTTAAAAGTTGATAGACGCTTAAATCCGGCCGGGGCCGGATTCGACCGGATTTGAAAAAAAGCCGGATTTTGGCCGGAGCCGGCCAAAATCCGTCAAACTTCGGTGCATCCCTAATATATATATATATATATATATATATATATATATATATATATATATATATAATAAACAGCAAAGGATAATAATAAATAATACTGCTAAATTAGCTACTAGCCTACTACTACTACTACTACCACCACCACCATCTTTACTACTACTACTACTTTAGTTACAAGCAAAAAATCATGCACACATTATTTATTTATTAATTTAATTTATCTGACAACAATAACTATGAAATAGACAAATAACTAACTAATGAAGTTAGAATGACTATTTTTGTTGTTTTTAAAATGCATTTAGATTAAATTTTTATGAAATGTATAATTTAAGTTTTAGTAGAATGAAATAAAAAAATTTTGGCTTCTCCTAAGAAGAGATGACGGGCTGTTTATATTAGCCTATACTAATTTTAATGCCAATGCAATGTGATCTCGGTTCAATAATAATTCATGATGTTGTAGTAGTTGATGTTGAAGAATTTGATCTCCACTATGTAGGTTATGTTGATTTTGTTCTTTAAGTTGAACAGGTGGTTGAATTTGTCTTCTTTGGACTTGATTGCTTCCTGTTTGATGTGCACGAAATTGGTTTACAAGTCCTACTATCTTGTCTATTCCATTTTTCACTTTTCTAAAATTTGATCTTTGGATGTCATCCAGTCCTCAGCTTTAGAAAGTTATAGAAATTTTATTCTATGAAATCAGTTAAAATAAATTAAAGTTATGTTGACAATCTGCTCCAGTTGTTATTTTGAAGTCTGAAGATGGTATTAAATACATGAACAATGAACTCACATAATCATTCTAGAGTTTCAAGTTATTTATTTTTTATCTTTCCTTTTTCTTCTAAAAACATTAGTGCTTACCGACACGATATCTTAAAACCATGACAAGTCCTGAAATGCTTAATATGCATTATAATATACATCAAAATATTTTAAATACTCATAAATTTATAAAATTAATTTTGAGGAAATTATTGACAACAGGATAAAGTTGCCTTGAATAATGATAATAAATATAACCAAAACTTTTCTGGTCTGTATTGTACATGTTCTAGACCATATCCTGATCCAGAAGATTCGGTGAGTTTGTAGTAGTTTTGAAAGATTCTTTGTTATTAGCAGATCCAAATGCATATTTATTTAAAAACGCTTGAAAATTTTTATTTCTGTATGTCTTATTATTTTTGTTGTCTTTATAACATTTGTGGCTTTGTTATAAATTTTATTTGAAAACACGGAACATTTTTTCATCAATCATATAAACCATTTATTTTTATTTTTAAAACGAAATTGTGATTGTTGAAAAACTTTTTATTGCTACTAATGGTCAATAATATGCGTGTTCTTTGTTTCATAATTCTTATTGTCTTAAGTATACTTTACATTAAATTTCAGTTTCATCAAAAGCGTAGTTTATTGAAATTTGTGGTTAAAATATTAATGTGCAATGGGCATATTCATAAAATTTGTGTTTAAAATTTTTGAACAAGTTAGCAGCTGTCAAAAAATTGTTTTTCTAAATATAACAATCAACCGTTTATAGGTGTATGATTGTTCTGATGTTACTATTTGAATATGTTGAAATGAATATATTAAAAATGAGGCAAGCAAAGTTAAAGTAGAGTGAGCAGATAGTTGGCGGACTCTGTGATGTGCATGTTGAGAAAAGTTAGAATGACTACCACAAAAGTTGCTTTGTCACTCAGTACTGTTTTCCTTGTCTTTCATGGAGAGGTGCTGCCCTACAAAAGATGATCAGGTAGAAGTATTATTGATGGATATGAAATAAAACCTTTTAAAGTAAACGTATCCTAATGAAGAGTCACGTGAAAAGTATATTGCCTGAACAATTTTGAAATGGTAGCCATTTATATGATATAAAACTATTTATTGACTAGATGAAGTGAGCTCTATAATTCAGCCGCCATGACGGCGAATCTTCGTTTTCAAACGTTTTAAGATCGGAAAGATGGAATGACCGAATACCCATGATTCAAAGACCTCAAATGACTGCACCCACTTACACTTCGTACTGACACTGGTTCTTCACTCAAATAAGATGGTGCCCCACCAACCAATCAATCGCTAGCCAGTAAAGCTACTTCAGCTGTAGCCAATGAAGTTCGTTACACATGTAATCCAAAATGGAGTAAAATTATAAGACGCCAGCTAATATTCTTGCTACCAGGTTTGGCACTGATTGAATAAAATGCTGTGGGAATGAATTAGCTTTGCTCATTGCAGTTTGAAAGTTTATTCTATTGCAAACAAAAATACTAGTGTTTTTGTTGACTACATAGTGAGGAAACATCTGATGGTTCTGATTCTATGAAGATGATAGAAACATTCCCGGCAGATATTTAAGTATTGATAACTTTTCCACTGTTTCACCATGAAGAACATGTTTCTACATATATATATATATATATATATATATATATATATATATATATATATATATATATATATATATATATATATATATATAATTTGAAGAGCTTATGACTATCTATGTTGATATTTATTTCAATTTTTATTCAGATTGATGATGAAATGGTTCAATGTGTTATCTGCGAGGACTGGTTCCATAAAAGGGTTTGTTCATTTTATTCCATTTGAACTGTACCATCTCTAGAATGTTTGTCGTTGACAGAACCAAGTGATCACAATTATAATAAGAAAAGAGATTTCACAAGCTTCCTTTTTTTCATAAAAATAAGTAAAATGAAATTCTTTTTCTAAGTATACTAATTGGTTGTACTGAATTAAATGAAAATTATGATAGCCAAAGAAGTTGAACAGAAAACATTTTGTTAACAGGTGTAAAGGTCAATATGTAGTTAAAGAACTTTAGGAAACTTGAACTAGAGAACTATTAGTAAATTTTGTAATCCGTTTACATACTTGTTTGAAAACTTGTGTACTATGCAAAGGATGGTACGATATACACGCCGATGAAATTTACTATGGCACAAACATTTATGACATTTTTATTGTCTTTCCAATATTTTTTCATTATCATTGTTCTTCCAATATTTCCAGTGTTCTTTCGATATATTTTATTTGTTCTTTCGATATATTTTTATGGTTTATAAAATATATTATCATTCATTTATTGTTCTTCCAATATATCTTCAGCACTTAAGTTCTTCGTTGAAATTTGACTCCGAGGAATATGAGGAGGTGATGTGTGTCAGATGTGTTCAACACTGCTCATTCGTCTGGTCCTATGTTAGCATTTGCAAAGGTTGGTATTGCTTTTTAGCAATTTTTGTTGTATGTGTTAACTTTTGAATTCTTTTTTTTGGTTTACAGTTTCACGCTGATCACGATCACAAATTTTTTGATTTTTAGCATGAAAACTTGTTACTCCCATAATAATCATGTTGACTGGACGATGCTGCCCTGGTTTAGCTGACCGGCTTTGAATCTTTAATGCGTGTGATGCGTTCATTCATGTGTTTCCACACACACTGTATTGCATATTGTTTTTGATATCTTTGATGAATCCTAGATAGAAACATGACATTTTTTTTGTTTCATTTGACCAATGACATTTAAAGCATTGGATGTAAGCAAAATGTAAACAAAACAAATTTTAAACAAAACCAAGTAAATATAAATAATACGAATGATTAAAGCAGAGCAGGGCAAAGCAGATTACATTTTGGGTTAAGATAGTAATCATTAAAGAAATAAATTTTAAGATTTTAAATTAAATCACTTTTTAATTAATTTATTTATTTACATCCTCTATTTAAATTCCCAAGTGCAGCTTTATATGAAGATCCCAAACGTTTATCAAATGACGGTCAAAAACCAGATGATGTTGATAATATTGATGTGCTGGCTGTTGAAGACAAATCAATTGAAACAGTGTATGATTGTTTGGATAAGAGAAGTTCTGATTCTTCAGAGAGTGACGTTCTCAAAGAAGAACCTTTTTTTTCGATTAATAAGTCAGAAAAACACCCAATTCCAAATTGCTCTGTAATTGATGGATGTTCTAGTTTGTCAAA